CCCGACCGCCAGAGCCAGTACGGCGACGTCTCGAGCTAGACCTCGCCGGCTCTCTCCGCACCTCATGTCTCGTCCGGGTACGAGAAGGAATGGGCTGACCCTGCAAGAAGAAACTAAGTAAAAAAAAAAATCAAAATAGAAGCAGTAATGCAAAAATAAGAAGGGAAACTACCTCTTGAACGGCGTCGTCGCGACGACACGTAGCCACATTCCTCATCCGAACGAGCTGGCTCCGGAAGGCATCTATGCACCGTGCCATAGCCGTGACCACCTCGCGCGAGAAATGTCAAGGAAATAAATTCAGTGATAATGCATAACATATACGGACAAAAATTGCAAATAAATAAAGCTTACTCGAGTCTGGTGACGAGGAATCGACCGCTCCACGAAGCGCTCACCCTCAGGAGCCGGAGGAATCATCTCCTCGATCGGCCCGTATGTCCCCCGATAATGGATGGACATACGAGGTGGCATGAACTCAGTAGGTCCAGCCTGACAAAAGCAAATCAGAGTTAGTAAAACATTACTTGGGGGCTACTTAACTAAAGGTAAAAGATGAAAATCATACTGCCACCTCCTCAGCCAGTACAGGGACTGGAGCTAACAACGACAGTAGCTCCTCCTCATAGCACCGCCCAAGGATTGTATAAGATCGCCAAAGAGTACCAGCTCTCCCTGACATGCTCATCAACCTCGCGCTGTTAAACATGTGACGCGGTGGAGGAGCAAGAACGACAAAGGTGTCCGAGGAGTGCTGAATAGAAACCCTCTCTCCAAGATATGCGACTGCTCCATATGTCCCTAAGAAATAGCGCTAATCCAGGGGCAACCAAGCCAATCCACGGTCGGTACTGCACGTCAGGTTCCTACAAAGAATGCCTATCAGATAAGAATATACCAAAGGTAATACGAAAATGTTCAACTATACAAAGAACCATACCGAGATGATCTGATCTCGAACATAAGCAGTAGACATCCTAGCGCGGCGACCTCCCCAAGAGGCGCTCACTGGAAACCTGCGCAGCGACGGTCTCGCCGGCGCAACTGAGGGAAAGTACTCGTAGAACCAGATCTACAAAAGGCAAAAAGCATCAGCAAATGCTAACGAAAGCTTAGAGCTAAACTTTATGGGAGATAAAGTATACCTCTACGACTCTCCAGAATCCGGACAGAATGACATTTCCCGTGAAGGACCGGTGTCGACACGAGTCTTGTAACGCTCGAACAAAGTGAGCATAGGCCAAGCTGGCCCAGTCATAAGTCCCGATCAAGTGTAGATCACGGACCGCAGGTAGATAGTAAAGCAGCACTCTACTACCCTTGTCAGGGGAAAACATCCCTGACAGCAAAATAAGCACAAAGATGTGCACCCGCTATTCTCGGGTGGTCGCATCATCCTCGAAAGCCGCCGCTAGAGTCGAACGGCGAATGCCCTTGGCGCTGAACTGAGTCGACTCTACCTCAGCACGAGCCCGAACAGCAATCAGACCCAACAGCTCCTCAACCTCAGGAGAAAATACGCTGATCTCGTTGTCGAATGGCAGCGCAACAGAACTAAACTCTAGTCCCGTACGTAATAAGATTGAAGTCGGTTGGAGTGACCATCATCTCACCCCAAGGAAAGTGGAAAGTGTTGGTGGTGTCCCAAAAGAACTCCACCAGGGCACGAGCCACGTGCTGACCCCCGCTAGAGGCAATCATGGTCTCCGAGGTCTCAAAAAGCGCAATCAACCCGCAAGACTCCTAGAGAAGTCTCACCTCTCCATCAATGCCAATGTACATCTTGTACAGGTCGCCTAAGGTATCGCAACCTGAGCCGTGGTAGTGCGTCCTACCAACCGTGATCCCACGTCGCACCCTCTCAGAAATATGGTGGATAGGGGAGAAGTACAGAGTCCACTCATCCCACTCAGGGAGGGGACCAAGAGAAGTGGACGGGTCGGCGTCCTCCTCTACGGGCTCATGCTCCAGTCGCGCGTCTCGGGACCGTGAACCCGAACCTCACTGTCTAGCCATGCTACATTGTGCAAAATCATCATAAATTAAGGTTCTATAGTATCTAAGGTTCGCCTAGCCGCATGATACTATGTAGTACTAAAACAGAGCACAAATTCAAATTGAGCACACAAAACATTTTTCAAGCATCCAAACAAATTCTTGCAATACTATGGTAATTATTGTGACAAATTGGACAAGAATTGCTAGCAAAAACACCAAGGACGAGCCACATTGTATTCCCGACCTTAAGAGGTCCAACAATGGTGATTTGTTCGTTTCTTCACCAAATTGAGTCAAACAAGTCTCAAATTACTCCCAAGACAATCTATAAACATAATCAAGCAATTTCATGGCATAAAATTTGACAAACAAAGTGAATTAAGCAATTTAAGTTTCGAATTTTCAAGAAATTTGTGAACAAACATGTGCAAAATTCATTAAAAACGGAGTGATTTTGGAGCAAACTTACATAGATCGGGAAAATGGATGGAATAAGCTTTGATTTGCAACAAATTTGAGCGAATTCGGTTGAGAAACGAGCAAGAACGAGTAAATTGAATTTTCGTGGCGATTTCTCGAGCGAAATGAACGGCAGCAGCGAAAATGAAGAATAAAGGGGTATATATGGAAATCCCTACTCTAGCGCAAAGCGACAGGCCTTGGCGCCAGACGATAAGGTTTAGCGCCTGGCGCTAGAGCCAAATATGTGGCACCAGCAATATTTCAGCGGCGACAGACTGTTCAGCCACTCAATGCGGTTGTTTCGACCTCTTACAACATTTTGAGTTCCTTGGTACGCCAATTAGCCCCTCTAAGAAATTTGACATGATTAAGTAGTCGGCTCGATTACAATTGCATAAAGTGATCGACCTGATGAATGATCGTCTCACTTAGTTTAAAGCGCCTAAGCATAGGCTCATCGCAAAGCACCGACATAATGGTTCATACAGCAAAAAGCACCGACGTACTGGTTCATAAACAGCAGAGGCACTGACATGCAGGTTTAAAAGCAGCAAAAGCGCCGACGTACTGGCATAGCGGAAGCAAAGTTCAAGCGAGCTTTTAAAGATCGACAAGTGTGGGTCTTCGGTAATTTTCCTCGGAATATTATCGCAACAAATGAGGATAGATTCAGGCGAGGATATCTTTGGCAGCGTTCCCTAGCTTGGGAGAGCTGTCACAAACAACTGGAGGTGATTTCAAGCGAAGTTGATTTCGATCGTGTTCCCTGGCTTGTGGAAGATGGTCACAAAGTGCTAGAAGGTGGTTTCAAGCGAAGCAATCTTCGATTGGATTCTCTAGGTTGCAGAAGTCTATCATGGGGGAATTGGAGGCAGTTACAAGCGTAGCATTCTTCGGCGGCATTCTCTAGCTTGCAGGAGGTCGTCAAAAATATAACAATAAATGCAGCAGCAAATCGGTTACTTCAGAGACGTGTGCTCGACGGTGTAAGATACGTGTTTCTTAACTCTTTTATCAGTTTAACTAACGCTAGTTTGCAGGTATCGACGTTACAAGAATGATTTAGGATCGCAGAACGTTCTGAGTCATTCTCCGTCCCTATCGCTACTTTGACTTTTGTTTTCGAAACTTGCATTTCTCCAAACTCAGTCAAAGTGGGGGCTTCTGTAGACACCCATTTGTGTCTCCCCAAAACCAAACCCGGTGATGAGTACCTTTCGCGTCGAATCATAATCGAATGAAGTGAAAGTGTAGAAAGTCTAGTGTTGCGGATAATTTTAATTTCTTTTTTCCTCTCTGTTTTTGAAAACCTATTTTAAGAAAACATCCAATCCAGTTTGGTTTGGTCCATAGCAAGGGTCCAATAATGGTGTAGTTGGATGGGGTTTGAAAAGAGCTTTCCAACGATATATTATAAGCCCAATTCCGATGCACAATTAGGAAGTTATGGCCAAATTACTAAACTGGGCCCGGTTTGATACTTATATGCGGCCTAATAATCTAGAGGAGGGCCTAATATGGATTTATCATTCTTAATGCAATTAGAATTGATTTTAGTCTTCTAGATTCTTCTAGAAGGTTCTTTTCATTCCTAATTCAATTAGCATTGATAAATTGACTTTGGTTGACTTTTTAGAGTTTTAATCAGAATAAAAGAGTGTTTTTAAGGAAAATACGATTTTGCCCTTCTATACGGCTAAATTTTATCTGAATTAAGAAAACGCGTGAAAATAATAATTAGCGCCTGACAACAGACATTAGCGCCTGGTGCTAATACTTGGCGCCTGGCGCTAATGTTCAGCGTTTGACGCTAATCTGTTTAATCCTCGTCGAAACTCTAATTTTTTTTATTCGTTTGGCTGATTTTCTCTATAAATAGCCTCATAAAACCTCCGTTTTTCATCACCAACTCTCATCAAGAATCTCTTGATTACTCTCTCTCTCTCTCTCTTTTCTAAACTAGCCTTCTCTCAAACAAAATTCCGCATTCACAAGACCAAGAAGCACCTAGCGTAATTCGAAGTTGCCTTCGCCCTAGACGTGAAAGGTTTTAATTTCTGAGAGTTTGGTCCCAAATCTCTATTTCAATTATTTAATTTAATTGTTTGATTTTATATTTTCCTTGAAGTTACTAACGCGTGTATTTTGTTATTAGAAAGAGATGTGAGGCATCCAAGTAAGTGCTTTAATTGTTTTATTGATATTATGATGTAGAAATGTTATTATCCGAACCGTATGATTTTAAACTCCTTGAACCTTGGTAAACCCGTTCCCAACTAAATTAAAATCGTACAAATCTAGACTGAAACAAAATCGAACCGATAATAATTTGAACTTAATTGAAACCGACTTGTTTCAAACTGAACAAAAGCCAAACTGTCAAACCATTTTAACACTGTTAAATGTCTATTAATGGATATGATCTCGAGATTAGGTTATTAAACTTAAATTAGGGAAAAAGTATATGGATGGAGAGAAAAAAAACATAAGAAATTGAAGATGAAAATATAAAGCCTTATCACGAAAATTCAATTTGACAGGTAGAGAAAGAGCCACACAAGCTTTTGTAGACCTCTCTTAGCCAAATACCGCTCAACTCACCTCACCTTCTTTCTTAACATCCGCCTATTTCCTTCTTCTTATTTTTCTGACCTCATAAATTTTCCTGCTTTCATTCTAGCCATAATAAGGTACGATTTTTATATATTTTGTTTTCATTTCTTATGAATTCACGTTATATCTTAATTCAAAAACTTTATAGTCCATAAAATTTGGCATTTTCTTTTTGTGGGTTGTTCATTTTATCCTTAAATTTTGCATATTTATCTGTTTGTTCAGTGAATAGTGTATGACTGTTTTGGGACTGTAATGCCACTTTGTTGAGTAGTTTATAGTTAGGTTTACAAGAATTTGTGCTGTTGCTGTGAAATTCTTACACTTGGGATTGATTAAATGCAAATTCTGATGATTAGAATCCTTAATCTTTAAGAACAATAATAATTATGGCAACAATGGCTTCCTTAGTGACTTTGGGAAGCTCTGGAACGAGTTGTTCAGGAAATTTGGAGGTTTCCTTTTCACTAGTTAATAAAATTTCGATTCCTAGAAGGGTTTGTAGATGTAATTTTCGGCATTTAGGAGGGGGAAGGAGATGGCAATACGTATCGGTGTGTAAGCTTTCTATTGTTACTGATTACATTTCTGAGCAAGGAAATGCTGTTTCTCTTGAGAATACATATAAAGGGAGTAAAGATGAGGACCTTATCTTGAAACCTTCTCCTAAACCGGTATTACAATCGGGGTCTAATGGGAATCGTAAATTGGGGGAAAGTTCGGGAGGTTGGGAGGAATCGAAAATTGATGCAGGCTCGAGTAATGGGAAATTAGGCAATGTGGAGGAGAGGAAGAAGGTTATTGAATCACTAGATGAGGTATTAGAGAAGGCTGAGAGACTAGAAATCGGAAGCTCGGAATTAGATAGTAAAAATGAGAGCAAACCTGTAAATAAACCATCTCCCAGTGTAAGTACTTCAGCAAATGGTAAACCTGTAAATAGCTCGGCAAAAGGGAAGCCTAGCGGTGGGAAGAGTGTTTGGCGAAAGGGGAATCCGGTTGCCACAGTGCAAAAAGTAGTAAAAGAACCTCCTAAGATTGAAAAGGTTGAGAGAACTGAAAGTAGGACTACAGGAGAAGAAAAGTTAGACAATCAATCACCTCAGGCCTTGAGACCTCCATTGCCACCGCAGAGGCCTGATATCAAGTTGCAGGCAAGGCCGTCTGTGGCTCCTCCACCAGTGCCGAAAAAGCCGGTTTTGAAGGATGTGGGGATGTCCTCCCCAGTTGATGGGAAGGACCAGGCTGTGAAATCAAAAGAGAGAAAACCAATTTTGGTTGACAAGTTTGCCTCAAAGAAAGCAGCTGTTGATCCAATGATTGCTCAAGCTGTAATTGCCCCGCCTAAACCTGCGAAAATGCCTTCAGGAAAGTTTAAAGATGACTACAAGAAGAAGGGTGTTACAGCTGGTGGAGCAAAGAGGCGTATGGTTAATGATGATGATATGCATGAAGATACTTCAGAACTTGGAGTATCCATTGCTGGTGCTACCGCTCGAAAAGGGAGGAAATGGAGTAAGGCAAGTCGTAAAGCTGCTAGACGTCAAGCAGCGAGAGATGCAGCTCCTGTCAAAGTGGATATTTTAGAGGTTGGAGAAAAGGGCATGTCAACAGAAGAATTGGCAGACAACTTGGCTATCAGTGAAGGTGAAATTCTTGGTTACCTATATTCCAAGGGGATTAAACCTGATGGGGTACAAACTCTCGATAAGGAAATGGTAAAGATGATCTGTGAACGGTATGAAGTTGAAGTTTTGGATGCGGTTTCTGATGAATTGGGAGATATGGCTCGGAAAATGGAAACTTTTGATGAAGATGACCTTGACAAACTTGAAGATAGGCCTCCTGTGCTTACTATCATGGGTCATGTTGATCATGGAAAGGTGAGTAAGCGACAATCTCTTTAAAAAAAATTGTAATTAAGATTGCTCATTTCTTACAAACAACTATCTAACATGGTTGGTCTATCTTGGCAGACAACCCTCCTGGATTATATACGAAAGAGCAAGGTAAACGTTCAACCAAAGCATTGACTGTGTTTTTATTTTTGTCATTATAGCTGCATTTATAATGTCTCAAAACAAGAGTTTTTCGTTCTGGCAGATGATCATTTTACTTTCATCCTTCCCTTATCTGTTTGCATATTCTTAGCTGTATAGAAGTATTACTCTTTCAGTTATTTTATGTATCCTATAATAATTACTCATAAGACTGTGCATAAAGTGTTATTTATAGAATGTCTATTTGGCCTATCCATTAGTCTAATGTCTTTACTTCATTCGATCTTATAACTGCGTCATTAGGTTTGCTGTGCAAGTTTGCAATGAAGAGTGACATAGCTGAATATATAATAATTTTGAGAAATTATCGATGCCAATCCTTGTTTCAAATTCATGGATCTGTTGGGATTTGTATTAGATTTTACTTTATTTTGCAGGTTGCAGCTTCTGAAGCAGGAGGGATTACACAAGGGATTGGAGCTTATAAAGTGGATGTACCAGTTGATGGCAAGTTGCTACCTTGTGTCTTTCTTGACACTCCTGGTCACGAGGTTAACTGAAGGCTCCACTCTAAATTTAATTTATATGTCAATTTGGTATTATGTATACTCATTTTTTCATATATGCTCCAAATCTGCTCTCTTAACAAGCACAGTATATGATAATTTATCTCGTGGCACATATGTCTGCGAATAATAATTGTTATGAATCAGTTGCATCAATCATGTTAATTGATGTATTTTATATTTTCCTCCTGTAGGCTTTTGGGGCAATGAGGGCTCGTGGAGCAAGAGTGACGGATATAGCTATTATTGTTGTAGCTGCTGATGATGGGATCCGTCCTCAAACAAATGAAGCCATAGCACATGCGAAAGCAGCTGGTGTACCTATTGTGGTTGCAATTAATAAGGTAACCATCATACTCTGCTATAGCAGGTTCTTTTTGGTAGTTTTTGAGTACAATATAGCCTAAATTTCAATCGGACCTTCTAAGGGCAGATGTTGGACACTATCTTGAAAATTATGCTCCCATCTAGCTTGCAATTGGCATAGGTTGTGAACTTGTGATGAGGATTGCTTGAATTAAATGGGTTGACTTGTTATATTTGCATTGTAATGCGCACTTAAATTTTAATTAGTTTATCTTAACTAATTCTTTTTGGTTGTTACAGATAGACAAAGACGGGGCTAATCCTGATCGTGTCATGCAAGACCTTTCATCAATTGGTTTGATGGCAGAGGATTGGGGTGGTGATATCCCAATGGTCAAGGTAATTTTTTTTAATAATAATTTAAAAAATTCCTTTAATTTTTTATTTAATGCAATAATTTGACCAACACATTTGGGGGGACATAACTTTGACCATGAATATCCGCAATTGTGTATTTGTAATTATTATAAAAAATTAATAATTCTTTCGTTCCTTTTTACTTGTTCCACCAAGTACTTGGAATCTAATATTTTAAAGATAGATAATACTTTAGAACATAGTCATGTGGGATCTTATTAGATTCGTCGATTTTTGATATCCAAATACTTCCTCCGTTTCTTCTTAGTTGCTACACTTTCCTATTTTGGAAATTTTTAATTAGTTGCAACACTTTCCATTTTTGACATTCTTTTCTCTCTATCACTCTCCTACCCACATGGTCCATCTTATTTTTCTCTCTATCTCTCTCCTCCTAAAAAACTGTCTAGGGGACCGTGAAAATGAAAGTGTAGCAACTAAAAAGCACGGAGAAAGTATATAAAATTTATATTTGTTGGTAATACGTAGCCTAAAATATTTTAAGCACAATATTTCATTAGAAACCATGCGAGTTTCAAATAGGACAATTTTAAAAAATGGAGGAAATATAATGGAAATATACATTGTGACCAATCCAACAACATATTACACACCATGTGCATTATGTAAATTAGTAAGATAATCAAGTCAAAGTTAGTGTATAAATTATGCAAAAGTCAAAATGTTACTTTTAAAATGAAATTCAAAGGGAGTATATAAAATTAATTTTTCAACGAAATCCTTTGGCAGCTACTTTTTTATTTCTCTTTTATTTTCCAATCCCTATTTATTGGGGTGTGTAAGGGGGTTGGTAGGGGGGTGGGGTGATGTTGAGTGGATGCTCATCCTTGTACCTCCATATTACAGATCAGTGCACTCAAAGGTGAAAACGTGGATGAATTACTAGAGACATCCATGCTTGTTGCAGAGGTAAGATAAAGCTAATGGTTCTTATTTAAGATTGATTTCAATTCTATATTAATGGTAAGTTACAATGTCGTATACTTCTGAAGGACTCTTACTATTTCCGGCTTACTTTTTTCTGCACATCTTTATTGTTATTAAGTTTTGAAGGAAAGGAATTTTAGTTTGAGGCAAATATATTCATCTGCTAATGCACTCTTTAAATTAGTAGAAGCTATTATTTCTTCATTTGTTCTTCTTATTTATCTGAATTGGAATTCTATATTAGGTAGGTGAAACTCATTATCTCTAAAATTTATTGCATAACAGAACTACACCTAGATATTTAGAGTTACATTACTTACATATACTCTTGTCTCTCTAAAAGTTTACTCTCTTTGTCCCACAGCTTACTCATTATTTTTGGTCCATGATTTTAGGAGAAATATGATGGCGGGAATGTGTTGAGAAATCATGCATATTTAACACAGTGGAAAGTTTTAATTATTTAATATAAAAAAGATAATTATTTAGATTTTCAATATATATTTTGAGTTGTTGATATGGTGTTCAATGAGACAATGAATATGTTTTCTTAGGTAGTTTCCTGTAGGTTGTATCCTTAATTTGGCTATCCTTTTTAAATGTCCTGTATTGCTATATATGCAACTCTGATGCAGATGAGGGGTCTTGTCTTCTAACATGATGCAAAATTATGTTTAATTTTTCTTACACCTGATTGTTATTGTGTTAATTCCTTGCTAGCTTTACGCACTCCTTTGCTTAATAATTTGTAGCTATTTTTGAAGAGATCCTTAACCCCCTACCTACACAGTGTCACAGTGTCACTTCATAGTTTTTTCTCTCTTTCTTATATTGTTCTTTTCTCTTTCTGTGTTATGTTTATAGCTGCAAGAGTTAAAGGCAAATCCTCACAGGAGTGCAAAGGGCACTGTAATTGAGGCTGGTCTTGACAAATCAAAAGGACCTATTGCCACTTTTATTGTGCAGAAAGGCACCCTAAGAAAAGGGGATACAATTGTCTGTGGTGAAGCATTTGGCAAGGTTGGTAACAATGGCTGTGAACTTTAGTTCTTAGAGAGTTACCATTAGACATTTACTCACTTGATTTTTCTGATTGAAGGTGCGTGCCTTATTTGATCATGGAGGGAATCGTGTGGATGAAGCTGGTCCATCTATCCCTGTTCAGGTTTGCTTTATGCATAGCTGTTTTTAATTCGTGTGTGTGTGTGTGTGTGTGTGTGTGTTTTTCTTTCCCCTGGTGATGCTTTACCATCTCCAAAGAATTAAACCAACTATGGTAATTAACATCCAGAAATTTAAGAATAATTGGGTATCTAAAAATGAATGGCAAATTTGCCTATGCAAACTAATTTCTAGTTGATTCCCGTGATGCCATTACCAATTTGCCAGTATGTATCACTGCCTACCCTACAGGACGCAAGTGCACAAAAGACTAACTGATAGTCCTTTTGAACCAGTCTTTCTAATAATGTACCTTTGTGGCTCATTGGACGGACCACTTCTCCGACAATATTTTCTTACCTAAGAGCAAATTCTTACCAGGTTATTGGATTGAATAATGTTCCATTCGCTGGTGATGAGTTTGAAGTAGTGAGTTCTCTTGACATAGCTCGTGAAAAGGCAGAGGCTCGTGCAGTCTCTATAAGGGATGAGCGCATAGCTACTAAGGCTGGAGATGGTAAGGTTACCTTGTCATCTTTGGCTTCAGCAGTTTCATCTGGGAAGATGGCTGGTTTGGACTTGCACCAGCTAAATATTATTCTAAAGGTTGATCTCCAGGTAAGGTGTCATTGTTTTTCTTGCCGTACTAATTATTAATAATGCATGCGTGATGGTTTTTATTGCCATAACTGATTGGGGGTTTGAGTTTCAGTGGATGGACTGATTTTTTATTTATTTTTATGTTAATATGTTTATAGTTGATTAGTTTCCAACTAATTTTAAGAAGTTTGTGTATGTTTTAACGTGGTCTTCAGCTTTTTTTTTTATAAATAATTAGCATGCCATTAATTTGTCATTGCCATTGTCAGTGCCCCTAATTTACACCTTAGTGCCTAATCCAGGATTCATTGGCGTGAAAAAACCTGCTGTACTATGGTTATGTACCTAATAAATTTTTTGGGATGCTGTAGGTTCTTGTGGTTTGGTAATTTGGTTTAGAAAATGGCAATTCTTGTGCGGTAAAAGCTGGCTGAGTCTTGATAACGTTTGAAGCTTTGAACTGCATAGGTTATCAAAGATTAATTATGTGTTTCATGTGAATTAGTTAGTTGTTGATCCATAACTCCATTGCATCATGTTTTGCTTATTAAGATGGGAAACAAGTTGCGCAGATTTCAACTTGTATTGCTTGTTTAGCGTTATATGTGAAACTTAAGCTCAACCTCATCACCACAGTATAATAACCCGAGGAAAACGAAGAAGTTCTAATAATCCTTTTATTTGTATATTTCTGATACGAAAATCTACGTATCTCCTTTATGCTTGTGTTCAATTTCTAAAAAATATTACGGAGTATTTGATTAAGCTGTGGACTCGATCTATCTTTCACTTTTCAGATTTAGAGCTGGCACTTGACTTTCTGGTTACCGTGGATATCAAACTACTAACTTTATTCTATTTGAGGGAGAAGGGAAAGGACAAATTAGGCGTGTGACTTGTTGATTTTTTTTTTTTTCTTTTCAAATGACACACCTCATGCATTTGAAGAAAACATGTATATGGCTATATGTTATGTAAAAAAGGAAAACATACAGGGGCACCACATTAGAAAACATACTTAGTAGTTCGTATATTATATCACTATCATGGATTTGAAGGCCACTATAGTAAAATAACCTCTTAATTTTTTTTATTACGATTCCTCTTAGTGATTAGAATATCTGGGAGAGAGAGAGAGACAGAGATTCTATAACATTGAACAACGTAGAAAGAAACAATGTAGAAAGGTATATCAGTCATGCTTAAAAGAAATGATGTCAACTAGTTGTCAATACGTAAAAGGGGGTATGAAACACAGGTACCTGTCAAAATTCTCGGAACTGGGACCGAAGTATGTTGCAACAAGCTCCTATAGATTTGTCCGAAATATACAGATTACGTTATCTGTTAATCTTTTCTATTCACTTCCTCAAAGTGTGTTCCATGAGGCCATGTTGCAAAAAAATGGAGGAAGTATCTTACTTAGAATCACTGAATCACTTACTAAAAAGACAAGGGCTAATTTACTAGCTATGTTAAATTACCCTCAAAAGATTTTGCTACAATAGGTATCCAAACCATAGTCCTGGGCTATATTGAATGTATAATATTCCTTGTTTACTTTCTTCATCTTTATATAGTCCCTTTCTGGCTGTATTGAATCTATAAAATTTTTTTATTTGATTCTGCAGAGGACTCAATGTTAAACCAGCCTTGAGTTCTTTGCAACCTAATTTTCAAAGTGGGTTTTAAGTTATTGTAATGCCTTGAGATAAATTGAAATAACATTTGTAGGTCTCAAAGTTTAAATAAAATAAAATAAAAATGGCATCTTGATGTGTCCAAAGCTCCTTGAGGCATCTTAGAGGCAATGACCCTCTTCTTTAGTGGACAGTACATTTTAGACGACTCAGTTGTTTGAGTATACCCAATTTTATACCCTTAGAATTACTTTTCTTTTGTCTGAATACATAATTGGAACAATTCTTTATTTAAAGAGGTCTTCCATTAGTGGCTATCGAAATGAAATTGGAAGTTATTATTTGTTGTACTGCTTTACTTGCTCTATCGTGCTGTGATCGTAAGGGAGTATATGTCGTAAGGGATGGAGGAAGATTTTTGTGGATGACTGTACGGAATAATCACTTTTGGTTCATGTAGTTGACCCCACTTATGGGATTAAGGCTTTGATTGATTGATATGTGATATTGAAGTTCTATACCTTTAAATCATGAGCTGCTGCTGTAAAACAGTCTTTCACCCTTAGGCAGAGCTGTAAAACAATCTGGATCAAAGACATGCTTGATTTAAGCTGACAGGCTTTAGATAATTTGACATAATAATGTTTTATTGATTATGAATCTGGAGATTTTTACTGTAACATCACAATGAATATATATGTGAAATATATCTTTTTATGTATGTTCATATTCAGAATGAGACCAAGGGAATTTCTCAGAAACATATCTTGTTATAGTAACAGCTTGACTTTCATAACGACTTAATTATAGAATTGTGTATTCATTGGTTGACTTGATGTACTTTTGGCTGTTTAGGATGCAGAACTATTAGTGAGCTTGTGTCTGTTAGTTCTATAAGTAAACTTCTGCTTTTGGTTTCTATATATATTTTATATCATCGTGGGATGTTTCTCTTATCCATTTGCTATTTTGCACTACCTATTACAGGGCTCAATTGAAGCACTGAGACAGGCTCTTGAGGTTCTTCCTCAAGTTAATGTTTCTTTGAAGTTTCTCTTGCAAGCAACAGGAGATGTTAGTACTAGTGATGTTGATCTTGCAGTTGCTAGTCAAGCTATAATTTTGGGGTTCAATGTAAAGGCACCTGGTTCTGTTCAAAAATATGCAGATAACAGAGGTGTTGAGATTCGGCTATACAAAGTAATTTATGATCTAATTGATGATATGCGACGTGCAATGGAAGGATTGTTGGATCCTGTAGAGGTAATTTTGTTGAACTCTGCTAATTGGGTACATGTGTTTTGCGGATATATACATTTATGGTGTAGGAAATCTTGTTAGACATCTGGTGGTCTTTTGTGTGTGTTAATTTAATTAAATGTATAATTTTGGGAGGGGGGAAGGGGTTGATTGCTGGATGGTGGTTGGGTGAGGGTCTTGCAATGCATAGCTGTTGTAATGAAACCCAGTATTCTGAATGATAAGACATTACAGGTTTGGCCTTATATTAAATTTCTTCTAGGTGAATAGATAAAGGACGCACCTGTAAATGTCATGATATTGAACATACTAAATCAGCATAGAAGCTCCTAATGAAAATCAAAGATTAATTATTATTGGTGTCAAGTTCAACTATAATACTGGCTCACCTATGTTGCCCTTATTCAGTTACAAGTGGTACTGTCAATTTCGGAAACATGGTTACTATCCTTAAAACTGACATGAATGTGGAAATATATATCTGATTATAAGTATCTCTTTCACATGCCTTTCTTTTACAGGTAATGGTATCAACATTTGAAGTTTATAGTTTTTTTTTTGGTAAGTAAATGTATTACTATCAAACAAGCTGTACAAATGTACAAGTTACAAGCCTGAGAAACCAGGCAACCCCCAATTACACAAGACCACAAGGGCCACACAACCACCAAAGTTCCTATCCCCTAAAAGGCCACCTTCTAGGAAGGGTTCATCTTAGGAACACAGGAACTAACCTGTCAGAAGCAAAACTGCAACCTTCTAGGAAGGCCAAAGAGAGACAGCTGACAGGAACAGAACAAACACCCAAACCTTCCCAATTAAGGTCCAAACAACCAGACCTATCACTTGGGACAAACAAAACAAAACAGGCATTTACAAACTCCACCCCAATTGTTCAAACATCAAGAAAACAAAAAAACAGACCTCACCACAAAAATAATCTAACTAGGAATGCTGCTACATAGACCATAGACCCATTTGCAATGCTGTCTGCTCCATTTCCTGTTTATGAGCTGCCTGACTCTATCCATGCTCACTCTGCCAATAGCTTTACAGAGCTTGTCTGGGTGAATAATAGCTTTTTGCCAAAAAGCATTATTTCTGGCAAACCAGATATGGTATACAACTGCTGACAGAACAGCCAAAACAGTCTTCTGCTTCACATTGTCCAATTATTCTTCTATGTTCTGTGTCAGGATATCTTCCTCGTGGTTCTAAAGTAACTGAGGAATCTAGTTGATTTAACTCTTAGCTCAAGAATTCGTACTCACTGATGTGTGGAGTTTTGACAGAAGTATTTAGGTGTATTGAATAGTGAAAGTAACCTAGGTGTTTACTAGCCCTCTCCCTGTGTTTGTACATAGGTTAGACTCACCAGTGAAGAGTGGGATCTTCAGTTGTCACTAGCTCATTATTAAAAGCAGAGTGTACGCTGATTATGGATAGGGGTCAGGTATGTAACATAACAAGGAATTAGTCCACCTTATCTACAAATTAACATCATTGATCAAAAGTATGGCATAGGTTTATCAAGCGATTCAAGCATAGTTATTACACTTTGCTTTCCCTTATTTGAAACGATAATAGTCAGTTATCTAAGGTTTAGTGAAGTTGATGAAAATTATGTGTTGAAACTTCTATTGCCTTGGTAATGCATTGCCCTCTTCATCCCAACTCGGAATTAGGGCAAGAAACTTGAGGGCAAAAAATAGATAGAAAAAGTTAATCGGTGGATGTGGTCATGTGGGTCTTATGGTTACTGCTTGTACAGCTCCCAGCCAGCAAGCAGTTAGCCTTCCTCTACAAAGAATGGTTCGTCTTCAATGGGGTCTGCTTTTTTTTTTTAGGAATGGATTGGTATTCAAAACTTTCCAATTTCATTGAGTTGGTAATTTGAACTAAGAAGTAATTGTGTATTGATAAAGTGGTAGGTTATATGTAATGAGAAAATTAGTCGGGTTGACAAAATTATGGAGTGTAGAGAGTATAATTTTTGATCAAATTTCATGAGAATGTTACATCGACTTGATAATTGTATGATATTATCAAGTAGTCATGTTAAATATAGGGAACAAAAGATTTTCTTCAAAAGACTTAGCCGCTTAAACATTGCTTCCTCCATGGGCTCCATCGTGAAATTAACTATTTGATTTTGGCTCATGTTTTAAGACTATTAGCATGTATGTAAATAATTAAAAAAAAAAAAAAAAAAAAAAAATTAGAAGTTGACCAAGAGAGATAAAAATGGATACATATAGTAAAATTAAGAAGATTTATTCCCTCATCACAAAATTAAAATAAGTTTTTAAGAACAGGGCACTAAATATATGTTTCCAAAAGTCTTTGGTGCTTAAACATTATTCCCTCTTTCTCAAATTAACTTCATGGTTGGTTTGGCACAAGGTTTCACAATTGTTGTATGCTTGTAGAAGTAGATAATATAGTTGAATAAAAATCTGTACATGATGCGAGGAAAGAATGAGAAAGTATTGTAATGTTGGTATATTTTGCCATTTTGGGATGGAGGAGTATTTTAATACAGGTATGTATTAGTAATAAATTTTACCTAATCATTGTTTACGGATAAATTACCAAAAAGCCCCATATGCTTTTCAACTAAGATCATAGTATGTGTAGACTAGCCACAATTTTGTAAGTGCTATATATAAAAGAATGGAGTATTGTTAAACAAAAAGATTCTCTGAAGCTGTATTGCTTACGATGAAAGATTGTCATGTTGAAAGTAAGCATGCATATTGATATATGTCACCTTTAGTTATATATAGTTTACACGAACTGTTATGTTTCCATCCTGGAATTTACGTGTTCTTTTCTTGAAGCGTCTATTAATTCTTTTTTCAGAATTGTGTTTGCTCTTCCATGTTTGAAATTTAAATTTCAGCTAAATAGTTCTATGGAATATGAATGTAGGAACAAGTTACAATTGGTGCAGCAGAAGTCCGGGCAACGTTTAGCAGTGGTAGTGGTCGTGTTGCTGGATGTATGGTGACTGAGGGAAAAATTACTAAAGGCTGTGGGATTCGAGTTTTACGTAAGGGTAAAACTGTTCATGCTGGACTCCTTGATTCTTTGCGTCGGGTGAAGGAAAACGTTGAAGAGGTACATATCGATTTTTTTTTTCCACGTTTTTAGATCACTGATGTTGGTAATAAGTAGGGGATTGTCACTCTGTCACTTCTCTGCTCTTGGGCATTGGAGAAAACATCAAGTCACCTTTTCACCCCCATTTCTACATATCTTATTTTAATATTTCCTCCGTTAACATTTATTTGCAACAAAAGGGTCAACGCGGACTCCTAGGAAAAACTTCAAAATATGATTATCGAAAGTTATGGATATGTAATTAATTATTAATCAGATAAAAAAAAAATAAATAAATAAATAAAAGCAATTACAATTAAAACAGAATTGTGCAGAACCACCATCACAAGCCACCCCTGAACCACCACCAATGCCACCTAGAACCCACAAATCACCACCGTCGCCCACAAATCACCGAAATCCACCCAACCATCACCGAAATCCACCCAAGAACCACGAAAACCACCCAGGAACACCAAGCCCACCTACAAACTACCCCCACGAACGGCCAGAATCATTACCTCCGATACCCACCCACGAAACATCCATCCGCAAACCATGAAACAGCCACCCACAAACCACCTAACACCCACCCGCAAATATGAACACTGCAAATAACTGTTAACGGAGGTGTTTGTTTGACCAGAATCACCGACAAACCCCCGAAACCTTCGACTACCACTAGAACCTAAGTTGCACAGAAACAGATACGGGTACAAAAACGGGTACGGGTACGGGGACAGAAAACGGCAAAATGAAAATTTCAAACAACGGGTACGGCAAGTCGGCAAGGATACGGCAAAAAAATCAGAAACATTAAAATTCATACGATGTTTATGAAATAATCCACACAATATTTTTTAAAAGAAAAAATAAAACCTAAATTCTACTGAACATGAGTCATAGTAATAGATGTGGAGTAAGTAAGACTAAAAAAGAAAGAAAAAAAAAGGGAGTGAAAAAAACTAACATAATTACAGCTAATTTATCTTTTTTTTAAAAAAAAAAATACAATTACAGCTACTTTACCTATTGTCCTATTCCACTTGATAATGCTTTACTTTTTCCAATTCCATATTTTACTTCTACTAGTACAGTAAGCCACAGTACTTTGTATAATTGTTTTTATACCAATTGAAATGTTTCAGAGTCGAAAGTTACATAATTTTTATAGAAAAAAACCTTCCTCTCCTCTCTCGAAGGTTCATTAATGGCTGCCTGGGATCTTCCGTCGCTGTAGGTGCTAAAAAGTGCAGGTGGCATCTTCAAATTTTATGGTTTTCAAGAAATCAAAATTGGGTAAGAAATATTAGGGGTTTTCTAAAAAAAATTGGGCTGGGCTTCTATTGGGGACGTCGAAAAAGGAGGTCATCCGTCCCCGAAACGTCTCTAAAGTTGCTCCCAGTCGTCCCCAAATTTTCTTCCCGTACCACTTTTCAAGGGTACGCCTTGGGGACGTATCTGGGCCGTACCCGTCCCCGATACGTCCCCGGTACGGGAAACGTCAAGAGGTTGGCGTACCCGTGCATCCTTGACTAGAACCACCCCCACAGACCACCAAAATCACCGACGAACCACCGAATCCCACACCCCTCCAATACCCCTGAACCACCTTGATAACCAAGCCCACCAATGAACCACCCCCACAAACTTGCAAATCCACCCACAAGCCACCAAATCCAACCACGAATCTTGCAAACCACCCATGAATAACTAAATCTGAAACCCACTAGTAGGATTGATTGGAATTTGAAGAGAGATGAGAGATGAAGAAGATGAAATGAGAGATGAAGGAGGAGAGAGATAATTAATTTAGATTAAGGTTATAATGTTTGTAATTATGTGTAGTATTATGTGCTAATAATTTTGAAATGAGGGTATTTTGGTCATTTTGACAGAAAAAAGTTACTGAATTAGGAAATAAATAAGTTTGTTGCAAATAATAGTCACCATCTTTTTTTTTTTTTTTGGTAAATGTTGCAAATAACTGTTAACGGAGGTAGTAGTCTAGAGATGAGAATAGTGCGTCTTTCTAGCTTGAAGTTCCTTCAATGGACACAACTCCATTCTCGATTTCTACTTCATGTTATGAAGCCTTGTGTGAACTGGGCTTAATGAATCGTAGTGTTTTAGTGTTATAGATGGTCATTTTCAAACGGCCTCTTAATTTGTTTGCAGGGAAGGAACCTATTTGAGGCATTAGGAATTATTTAATGTTGATCTCTCACTTCAATCTTCCTGCTGTAAAAGCATGCTATATCCCTTTAAGGCCCCGTTTGGTTTGATGTAAAACATTTTCGATGAAAAATAAGTTTTTATGGAAAGCTTATTTTCAAGAAAAACCAAACTTGTAAGATAGTTTTCCTTTGTTTGGTTATTACAGGAAAAGGTAAAGAGATATAAAAAATAAGTGGAAATGGGGATGGATGAGATGAAAGTAAAAAGGAGATAAGGAGAAGGGAGGAAAATGTTTTCCACCATTATGGATGCAGTTTTCCAATATTTTTCCACCATTATGGATGCAGTTTTCCAATATTGGGAAAATTATTGTCCACCCCTTCACAAACCAAACAAAGGAAAATGGGAAAATTATTTTCCATAAAAATATTTTACATCAAACTAAACGGGGCCTAAGTGAAATCTAATTTGTAACCACTTACAAATATGTTCCTTCATTTCGTATTGAGCTTAGTATTTAATAAGTTTTTTCTTTTTATTATATATTTATATTGGATCGGCTCTTCCATCGTTCTTTTGATTGAATGTACACATTCATTTCGTTCTTTTCACTTTTCAGGTAAACAATGGGCTTGAGTGTGGAATTGGATTGGTGGACTATGATGATTTTGAGGTTGGTGATAGACTTGAGGCATTCAATACAGTGCAAAAGAAACGAACCCTTGAGGAGGCTTCAGCTCAGGTAACAGCTGCACTTGAAGGAACTAGCATGGCTCGATGAATATGAATGAACACAATGCTCTTGTACAATATCAAGGCAAGACTGGTTATTTCACCTCAGCGAAGATATCACCTCGCTCCTGCGTCCTTGAAATTCCGAAAGCTATGATCTATTTGTTCCGAGCATTCGATCCTTAGTGGATGTTCAATGAGCTGCTTAGCCAATTCTGTATGAGATCATGCTGTACATAAGTGGTATATGTGAATCACATTCATATGCTTCTCTCTAATGTAGTTGTCAAAGTTCCTCCACATTTTTTTTGCTGACAGCATTTTGTAACAGTTATAGTATCCACCTTGTAAAGGAAAAGATCTTCAAAGTCATAAAGGAAAGAAGGTGAAATATTGCCTGCTTCAGTAACCATCTCTCCAAATTGTATATCTCACATTTTATTCACGCTAAAGTCTTTTCTGTCCGAAAGCCAATAGATAGATGCTATGCCACAATAGATAGATGTCTCACAAGATTCCTTTTTCTAAAACTTCAAGCTCTTTCTACTTATTTTTGTAGTTGACACATCAAATTTATGCACTTTTTTTTCTTCAAAATAATAGGTAGTAACATACAATAAAAATAAGGAAAATTTGACTTTTACTGCCACTAATGCACTAATTTGAATTTGGCTACTTTCCTAAAATGTTATTTTATTTTATTACCACGGAGAACAAAAAAAAAAAAAAAAAAAAAAATTGTTACCACTTAACCATTTCCGTTAGTGGTCATCCATTAATTTTTTCTCATTCATGCCAAAAAATGTTTCGTTAAGGTTTTAGGGGGGTCATCTTAGTCATTGGGAAACCAAATTGAGCTTGGAATTGGCAAAAAAAAAGTACCTTGTTTTGTGTGTAAAAAATGCATCGAGTTGCATGCACTTATTCATTTTGCCATGAAAATTGCTTAGGTAAGGTTTTAGGGGCAATTTTAATTTATGAGAGACCAAATTGAGCGTGTCTATGTTGACATTATTAAGCTCGAAATTGACGTAATTAAACACGCAAAATGAGACATTTAAGTAACTTTTTTGGCGATTCCAAGTACAATTTGGATCTTTAAAGACTAAAATGACCCTTAAAACATTACCCGAGTAATATTCGCGGCAAAAAGAATAGTTGTATAAATCGATACATTTTTTGACATGCAAAGCGAGACATTTACTTTATTTTTTTGTTAATTGCAAGCTCAATTTGGATCCTTAAGAAATAAGATGACCCCTAAAACCGCAACGCAAATTTTTCGGCACGCAAATCGAGAAAAAATTTAATGGCTAACCACTTACGAAAACAATTAAGTGATAGGAAAATCTATTTTATATGTGTTTATATGGTAAGAAAAGAAATTAAAATTTTTGATAGGCCATGGGGACCTACTCCCTGCCTGCACTCCTGGGGTGGTGAGAATGAGATATATCTTAATTTTGCCAACTTAAGAAGTTGGATTTCATAGCCTTCACCGATGATATCAACAACTACTTTGATTGGCTCGTGAGCCAAAAGCACTGATGCATCCTCCCCAACCTAAGCCGCACATCCTTAGGGAGGAATATAAGGAACGTTTGGTTTTTATAGCTCTCGACAATGGGGATTTTCCCAATGCCAGCATGGGAGAAGGGTTAGAAGGTGGTTACGAGGAATAACAACAACAACAACAATTTCAACAACATCAACATCATCAAGGCATGCAAAGCCTTCAGCAACAACTGAGGAGCATGCAATTGGGCATGTAAGTTTTAATTAAGAACCAATAAGGTATGTTCCTCCAAACTCAAGCTTCATATGATGCTGCCGTGAGTAGGGGAAGATCACTCCCACAGCTAATTACCCTTATTGGTTACCGCAACATGGTTGGGTCCCTCAATGGTCGGGAAATGAGCAAGCTTTTCCCTATTGGCAAAGGCTTCTTGATAAGTGACTTTTATGTCACTTTTAGGGTATTTTTATGCTTATTTTTCGGTTTAGTTTCTAAATAAATTCCCTAATTTACGCTTAATTTCTCTCTCTTTCTTATTTTCCTTATTTGATCTTTATTTTGTGTATTTTAGTAGTTTTTAATAGTTTTTAGTTTATTTTCGTAATTTATTTTATAATTCTTAATTTATAATGTTCTTAGTCTAGGTTCTTGTTAATATTTTTGTTCTCGTTTTCCTCCTTTTATTTTCTTCTATTTTTATGTTTGTTTTCTTTATTTTATTTTATTTTATTTGATTTTATTATTTCTTTTAGTTTTAATATTTTATTTTTCTTTAATTTTATCCTTATTTTATTTTAGTTTAGCATTTTATTTTACTTTATTTTTATTTTTATTTTATATGTTGATTCTACCTTTTTATTTTTTTTAGACAACGGTTGCAATAAAACACAAACTAAAAGCCCAATGTTCTGCATCTGGTGGCTAGAGTATGGGACTTTTTTTTTTACAGTATTTCTAGTAGCCTTAATGCACACCACAAAGTCCCTCTTTTTAGCTGCTGAGATGATGTCCCAAATGATGTTCTTCAGCTCCTCAAGGCACTCTATTAGATTCCTCAGCCCTTGAATAAATTGTAAGGAATTTGTCTTGATGATAAGGTTTCTAATAGATTAATCTACCTCTTGTAGAGTTTTCAACACTGCTAGTCCTTTAGCTTGGGCAGGGGATGTGGCAAAGACTCTAGAGAAACTTTGAGCTTGTGAATGGTTAGGACCTTCAGCAGACCATGCGGTGGCCGCTTGCCATGAGCGTTTCCCTCACCGAGAGATTTTTTTCCATGCGGCATCAACACAGACAGACATAACAGGTTGGGTTGTTGGCTTTCCTATGCACCAAATACCTTGGAATGGTAAGACTGTTACTGTGCTCTTCTGTTCTGCTTGACTTTGGACCAGTGCATGAGCTTTCCAATATCCCCTGATGTGTCCCCTTGCTGCTTCTAGAATGCAACTTGGATTATTTGTGGCTGCCCTGAATATGATTTGATTGCGATGGCACCATATACTCAATAGGATTGCCAAGAACTCAACCAGTTGTTCTAGAGCTGAATTAGTCATAAAGTACTTCAAAAAGTTAAGGACCCATTCCTTGCAAGAAATAGATAGAGGCTTAGTTGAAGCAATACCAAGGTGTGAGCCTCTCCAAACCTTTTCTGAGATTTTCTGAATAGATGATTCAGTTCTTCTTCTCCACATTTGCACAGGGGGCAGGATCTCTCCACAAGGATTCCTCGTTTTCTTAGGTTATCTTTTGATGGTAGAATAATCTGAGCAAGTTTCCATACAAAGACCTTCCATTTTGGTAGAACGTCTAACTTCCAGAGTAGTTTCCAGAAATTACTTCTCCTATCTTGTTTGGTATATTGTTTACCAAATTACTTTTCCCTCGTGTTTGGTTTTTTTTGTAGGAATGTTCGAGTCAAGGCATGGGTTCTAATTCAAACTGAGCCCTAAGGCTTCGTTCGATCCAATAAATCTCCTATTTCCACCCTTCTTGCTGCCCGTTAATCTTCACCACACCTCACTTATCCTCCACCACACACTAAACCCACAACTCACACTTCCCCTGCTCCCTCACTTGCTATCACCAACCTCCATCTCCACCTCACAATACCACCATCACTATAATAAGAGGTTAGCTATGCTGAGTCAGCATAGTAATAATGAGTCAGCTAAAGTTGTTAGAGATATTTTTTCTAATATCTTTTTAGCTTTATGGGTATTTTTGTACAGAGTATAAATGCCGTAATCAATGTAATAAATTCATTCATTCAATTTGTGAAATAAAATCCCCAAAGTTTCCTCTATATTCTCTTTCGTTTGATATTCTTCTGTATTCTTCTCAGTTCATTAATGGAGGTTCTCTATTGAAATCGCTAATTCTTAGTGATTTTAGCTTGAGATTCTAGTACATCTCTCGTCTACTGTTACATTGGTATCAGAGCAAGCCCATTTCAAGAATTCTGAATTCTTGAAAATACCCAGTTCGATTGAAAATACCCAGATCGATTAACTTTGATTTTCTTCAATTTTCCGCTGAATTTCTTGCTTCTTGGAGATTCTTGGGCGTAATCCTGGCACCAATTTCAGTAAAAAGGATGGTGTCTATTGAGCAACAAGTTAAGGATCTTGAATTGCGATTGGGTGAGCAACATAAGATTAGCTCAGTTTTTCAAGAACGTGTGTTGAAGATGATGGAGGATTTGAGCGCAAAATTGGATGAAGTTGGGACCAAATCCTCAGTTTCTACTCCAGTTTTAACTCCGAAATCCTTTGATGGAGGGTCCAATCCAACCAGGACTCTTTGGTATGTTCCTAAACTTGAATTCCCTAAGTTTGATGGCATGAATGGTAGAATGTGGATCAAGAAATGCAACAAGTACTTTAAGTTGTGCAAGATTTGTGATGAACAGAAGGTAGACCTTGCTAGCTTGAATATGATTGGTAAGGCTGAAGTATGGGTAGCTAGTTATTTGGCTGGGAAGAGTAGTGTTGACTGGACTGAATTTGTAGTTGATTTAACTGCTAGATTTAAGGATTCTAAATCTGATAATGCAGTAGAAAATTTTAATAAATTGCAGCAAGTGGGTACCATTGATAACCACCTAGCTCGACCCGCTTAAAAATATAAAAAAAATAAAACGATAAAAAAGAGGGTCGAAGTTCCGAAAAAAAAAATATAAACAAATCGAGATACTAACCGGAACAAAAGATGGGAAAGGAGTCAGCTTGGATGCAATAAAAGCCGGATAGGAAGCATCCGGCAACACCAGCTGATCCGCTGGATAACCAAGGATCGCCTGAGCTTGATCCTCGGTCGACAGCAAATCCGGACGTAGCATCCGGACCGGAGGATCCATAGGGACCACAGGCTCCTCTGACGAATGCTGCCAGAGAACGCACTCGCCTAAAAACCAAGCGTCCGTCCTCTACAACATTGGAAGTCCCGAGTAGGGAGCCCAGAACTGGCAACGAACCATGCCAGACCGGATATCCTCAAGAACTCCAACGATCAAACTCCAAGGACGGAGATCGATCTAATACAATCACATGAAAATCATCAAAACAAAATTAAAAAAAAAAAAGAAAAGAGATATACATGTGTTATCAAAATACTCACCGACGCACGAGTCGCCAAAAGAATCCTCTGGTGAAAGTCGCCGGCTGAAGTAGCTCGCTTCTTCTTAACCATGGCCAGTCGATGGCCGATAGGAAAGCAAGCAACCCCGAGCACCCTGGGGGCTAAGAAAGGCAGGTACGAGTATCCCCAAGCCTAAAAAAAAAAGAAAAATGGCTTAGAAAGAAAAAAAAATGTATATATGAGTTAAAAGGAAAATTTAAAGGTACATACCTCAAGGATACGACCATGCCATGTAAGGGAAATCCGAGGCACCTCAATAGCTGCCGCAAGATCCACTACCCGGGTCGCCTTGCCCATAGCTCTAAGCATATGGGCATACGACACCTCTGCCCAGTTCAGGCT